CCGGCCTGCGGGTTTGGTGGCTGCGGAGCCTTTTCCTTTGCTGCAGAGGCGCCTCCTTGGGTACGCCGCATCCCAAGGCGCGGGTGCTGCAGGTGTACCTCCGGCCGGGGCCGGCCCAGAGCCAGAGCCGGGGCCGGCCGCCGTGCCTCGGGGCTCTGCCGGCCTGGGCTCAGCTGCCTCCTCCCCTGTTACATGCGTGGGCAGGACATACCTCCTGTGAACAGATGTCAAACCCGCAAACATGAGGCGTATATCGCGACTTTGTGCACATGTTTAGCGTTGCTGACTTCGTGGTAGGGATGTAAATTACTGTCTGTAGAACCAGGGGCTGAATATGAGAGGCTTAGTTTTCTCCAGGGACAGCGGGACGTTATCCCCAGCTTATTTGTGAGGAAAAAGAAGAAAAAAAAAAAGCAAAGAAATGCGTTCATCATACATACTTGAGAGATTTAGAAGTGGAACTGATGTCTCAGTGGCTGTTTTCATTCTTTCCTGCTTCACAGAATCAACACCCCTAGGGGGAAGAAATTTTCTGATAAACCAGCTGTTAAAAAAGCATAAATCTGAATGATGTAATTATTGCTAAGACAGCTATTCAAAAACCTTGAGTCACAGAGCAGTCACTGACAGTCTACAGAGATCTGGCAGATTGCAGAGTTTACATTGAATTTTTAGTTGCTTCTTTCAGGTTTGCTCTCACCAAGAATAAGGAGCTATAAAAGCCACTGGAGAAAAGTTTAACTATGTCTTGTAAAGCTAGAGATATGTAGCAGAAAAGGAACTATGAAGTCAATAGAGAAAGGCTTTTTTATGAATAACTGAAAATGTCTAAATGCTTTCCTGAATTTCAGTGCAAAGACTTGCTGTGGTTAATACAAACATGTTGAGCAATTGCAAGCAATATGTGAGGCAATTGTGAATATATATTCTGAAGAGGAAGTAGTCCATTAGGCACTCAGTGTAGTTCATATTATTAATATCTTTGCCTGCTTGTGCTGAAGAGGATAGCCATGATTTCCTTATCACTGGGGTAGAGCATGTGGGAAGTCTCTAAAATAGACCCAAGGAGCTGCTGAAGTGCATTTCTCCAGATTTGCTGACACAACAGCAAACGTTGTTTTAATATATTTAGTCTAGTGAAGTTGCCGGGAAATGTGAAACTGAAGCCATACAAGATTCCATGATTCCCTAAAGAGTAACCTTGATTTGTTTCTTAGGATGTGATTTCCCGATGTAGTTGAGTCCTATTAACATGTCACCATTGCCGACAAAATGTTCTCTTCTTCCTGCCACTGCTTTGAGCTGCACGATTTGCTTCCTGCCTTGTAAAAAGCAGTAGCAGTTACCTGATTGCAAGATAAAGCAAGTAAATTTGCTGATCTTACAAAGAAAAGAAACAAATACTGTTTCTTGCCTAGTTATTTTTCACTAGTTTAGTGAATTCGGTTTGTTTACCCTGTGACCAGATGGTCATCCTAAGCAGCTCAAGGTAAGTGATGCAAGTGTGCAGCTCAGAGCAGTAGGAGGCAGAATTTGGAAGGGAAGAGCAGGATCTTTGTTTTCTGGTTATGATTTTGCTCAACCTGTACAGGAAAATTGTTCTTTAAGCTTAAAAATGCTTATGCCAGCTTCCTTTGTAACAGTTTTCATTTGACACTTATTTTCTTTGCTTTCTGTCATAAACTGTTGGATATCTTGCATTCACTATGCTCTTAAGCTGTGCTCTTAAGCAGTGTACAACTCGCTTGAGGTGTAACTGCATAGCCTAACTTACTCACTGTTATCGACAACTAAGAATGATTTCACTGCTCTCTATACAGATATGCTGTATACCACTTTAAGTTCAGAATGTCAGAAGATTATTTGAATTTAGCTTGTTTGTTTATGATCTTAAATTTTCACACAGACAGTCCCTTGCATCTCAACATGAATTTGAGACTACCGTAGTCTGTCGGGGCAGTATTCTAGCAATGTGATATTAGTTTAATGCTACTTTCCAAACAGGCCTCAGACATACAGTTTCATTGTTCTGCTATTTTTATTTGCAATAGAAGAGTTTTGAATTTTATGTTTTGGTATGTTTTCTTGGTAGGTACACAACTAATGAAGCAAACTATAAACTCTTCACTTCCAGAACAACTGTAAGTATTTGGTGGAGGTCAGGCTAATTAGTACTGGTTGGTACTGCAAGGTTTGGAATTTTTATTTCATATATGGTGTTCTGGATCCTTCTTTCTCCCATCCCCTTTTCTTTGTAAACTAATGACATGGAAGCTTTCATTTTAATACTTTAAAAAGTACTAAATACTCTTTATCGATATGGTTCACTACCTATATTTACGATATAGTTATAAAAAATGCCAACTCTTGACCAAGGTACAAAAGCAATTGATGCCTAATGCTCTGTGTCAACAATAGGCATTTTTTGTAGTACAAGACATTGGAATAAAACTCTGCAGAAATGCCCAATTGCACTTATTTGGGTTCGTTTTCTGTAAGCAAAAGAACCAGCAAGTGCATTCAGTGTTATAATAGTGGTTTTTTTCCCTCTAACATGTAGGGAAACTACTCACTTTTTTTGTTGGTTTAGCAAGTTGAATCTGCTCCCTGAGCAGGCAAGTGAGTGTTTAGAGGTGGCACAAACTGGCAAGAGTCTGCATTCAAGGACTGAAAGAATGTGGCTGCGCTTTTTGGCATTAGCAAGCTACTAGATGGGATTGACTTTGTAAAGCTAAACCCGCAGTAGCTGTGTAAAATGAAAAAGTTTAGACTATATTGTCTTCTGAATTGTTCAATGTTATTGATAGGAGATGAATAACTGAAGCAGTTGTATTTATCACATGTTTCACTTTAATTTGGGTACATTCAGGCTTTTCACATGACTGTTGTTTTCTACCTCCCAATAAATTGCAAGAGATCAGACAGGAACTTTTAATAGATAACAGAGAACAGAAGCAACGTGAGGTAATTTCAGCATCTCAGTCAGATGAGCTGAAGAGATACGTAGAATTATTACATCTGTATGTCTCCAATTATTCTGCTGAAAGAGCCCACGTATTCTGATTGTGTTTAAAAAATATGACACAAATTGGTCTAAGTTGTTTAGAGCAGAATTTTACGTAAGAACTTCAGTAGTTCAGAAAATCAAGGATGAGCATGAATGAAGCGAAAATGCTGTAACAAAGCCAAGAACGTCAAATGGACTGCTAGCTAATGCTTAGTATCGCTGATGGGTCGTACAGCGTTATTTCCTCCTCCTTACTATAATTTTTCGTATTCAAATTGAAGGACACCTGAAGGATTTTAATATTTTTCTGGTACTATTTTCCTGTTGTGAGCCGCTTCTGAGTTTCCTTCAGGAAAAGTGTCGAGTGAAGAGAGAAACAGCTCTTGACAATTATAACGTCAGGGCAAGCGGTCCAAGGGATGAGTTTTCTATTAACACTGATTCTGTCTATGACAGATGTAATACTCATATATTTTACGCTGCGCTTATTTACTCTAGAGCAGTGGTTGCGGAAATGTGGTCTGTAACACCATGGTTAGCTAATCTGCAGGTATCCTATGGATCTACATTCAACAAGAAAATGTTGAAATTTATCACATTAATCTCATTAAAATATTCAATAAAAAGTAAGCTAACTTTACTTCCTGATTATTTACAGCATTTTTATAGCATTTTCATGCTTTAAATTTGACTTTAAGATGTACAGCCATTCATAAGAAGTTCTAGGTGTTGACAGTGGTCCGTAGTGCAAAAATGTTTAAGAATCACTGTGCCAGACAAGGTCGGCATCTCTAGCAATTCCTACTTTCCAGAATGCCTTCAGGTTACCCTGGGAGGAAGGGAGCTGACTATATTGTAAGGAAGCACGTAGAAGCTTTCAGCCTCTCCACAGAGAGATTATATTAGGTCTATTCTGTCTCTCAGAGAACACAAAAGTCAAAGAAACTGTTGCTTCAGTTATAAACAAAAATATAATATATAGGAAGAAACTTTTAAAAGATCTGTAAAAAGTCATAGGAGAAGAAATGCATTACAGAATACAATAACTTAACAACAGACTTAACAATACAATACAATACTTAGCAATGACTTTTATATCTTGGAGCGTGATGGTGCAAAAGAGGTGGTTCTTTCCCTGAAAATTTATTTACCATCAGTGCCATCAGCGCTCTTTAGAGTGCTGTAGCAAGAGCGGCTGATCGTCTGTGATGATGTTGCAAACATCAGAATATCATGCTGGGCAGATGGCATGGTTTTTATTTGTATCTCAAGTTCCTTGGGGAAGAGAACATTTCCAGAATGCTGTGTTGTATTCAGTGTACGCTTATTATGGCTTTTGTCATTGTAGTACCTGGTCTTTTCACATGGTGAAAAAACGTAGATCCTGTTGGGTTCCCAGAAAGAGAAAAGAGAAAAGATAGATGCTAGTTTGCATTCTAAGGAGTTGTTTCCCAAAGACCAGTGATGACTCTCTAAACAAAATGTTCTGTGTTAAGCAGCATCATTTACGTCACCTGACAAGCTTTCTTGCTAATATTACAAGATACTCATCATCTTATTTGAGCATGTGCTTAATGTGTTTGATCTGCTGATTGCACTTATTACTGTTTTTAAATTAGTTATTCCAGTTAAACCTTTCCTTAACTATTTTTGTTGTGATTAAAAACATTAATCTTTTTTATTCATGATAAAAATAGATTAAGAACATTATAATTTTAAAGTAATGTTTGTACATGTTGTCGCAGTCAATACATTTGTACATACTAGCGTATGTTCTCAACTCTTTGGTTAGATATATTTAGAATACGAAGGAACTTCATTTGTTGAATGGGAATTTCCTGACGTGTGTACTGTTAAAAATAAAAGGTAAGAGTTTCATAAATGAAAAACATTACCATAAGATTAAGATTTTGAATTCAGTGGGTGTATAGTTAAGGTAATGCAGGATACTTTTGAAATTTCAATGACAGTTTACGGACGTGCTTTTTTTTTTTTTTTTAATTGATGTATGCAAGTTCAAATAAGACAGCAGCTGTCAGGACTGGAGATATATGAGAAAAAAAAATACTGTCTTTTGTTCTTTGAAAACTTGTAAGGCCAGAACTGAAATGCTCTGAAATGAGATTTTTAGACTGTGGTTTGCGAAGACAAGTCAGTTATGTAATGCTGCTAAAGAAAAAAGAGTAAAGAAATATCAAGTGAGTTCTTCAGACCTGCATATTTCATTCTCCCCCAAAAGAATGGCAAATGAATTACTGTCTTCAGAGAGCAGAATTGAAATTATTTTCTGTATGTATTATATTACAATTTAAATATTACTTATGAAATCTTAACTATGAAAATGGACATATACAGCACAAATTCACTTTAATTACAGTGTCCCTCCCCAAATTTCGTTGCTTGTCGCGATCCAGACAGCAGCTTGCTCTCAAAGGCATGTGTAAATAAGTTCCATGTTTCTGAGTGTTACCTGTTGTGTACAAAGATACTGTGTCTCAGCCTTTGACAGCATCAGACATTGAAAGCTTAATAGTACGTGTGAGTGCTGGATAATTTGGATGACTTATGTTTTGCAGCTTTTTCCCTCTGGGGCAGGGCAATGAAGAGATATATA